CCCCTGTTTACTTTTCAGAATCTTCACAAAATTTGTTTATTCTTAGTACTGATTGTCATACGAGGTTATCAGAGAGAGCTACCACTTTCCTTAAAGGAAGATACAAAATATTTAGTAGACCTATCCTGAAGAAAGATATCGTTTTAAAGTGCAACCAATCAAGCAAAGAGTATCTTCAGCAAAACTGCTTACTTTTATGAAACTCCCAGGTTAGTAAGTCAAAATATGCATTTCCAGTATTATTTTATCAGTCTTACTTTCTAGGATATTCAGGATTATTTCCAGTTTTAAGTGGTTGGCCATAATATATGCTTATTATATTATCGGATAATTCTTCTGAATTTGATAGGTAAACATAATGAAAATTTCTGAATCAGGACAACAACCAACTTCAGTGATTTTAGCAGAAATTTTAGAGGGACTTCTGGGTGAGGTTTTTTTTGAGTTGCTAATACAGGTTAACTGGCAAATGCTTACTCTAAGAAAGTAACTCTTGAGTTTTTAAACTGAATTTTACCAAAGGTAAACTGCACTTTGGTAGAATTGGCATGAACAACATTTTTCTAAGTCTGTTCCCCTGTTTGAGGTGTCTGAGCATTTATCCATGATTCCTTGGCTTCTGGAGAAGGGGTGGCTGGAGATGCGTTTGTCTGGAAATGCTGTCTGCCACAGAAGCACCAAGCATCTGTTGCTTGCTGGGTAGTATGAACCTGTTGCACAGTGGTGAGAACAACACTCTTGGCGCTGTGCTGCAGATAGATACACAAAGCAAGGGAATGACAGGCTAGCAGGGAAAAATTGAACTGTTTCATGCTGTGTAAGCAGGCTCCTAGGGATTCAGGACTCAGAACCCCCCTGGAGATTCAGCCCGTCCTTACCCAGGCACTGAAAGTGCAGCTATATGACTGCATGATCTGTACAAGGAATTTGGGAGGCCTTGTTCCCTCCTTTTTAGGTCAGGTAAGACAAATTAGTCATGGGTACATTTAATGTTGAGAGCAGGTAAATTAGAATGGAAAAAATCAGTTTGTAATAGGAAAAAGATTTAGCACTATGTTAAAATAATAGTTATTTTTTTGAAAGAACAATAAACTTGTTCTTTCTTTGTCAGAAACTTCATCGACTGAAAGTGGTTCTCAGGTAAAAAAGATGTAATAAAATTAATTAGTGAGAGAATGGACTAAGCAGTGGAATGTTTTTTAATTTGTTTAAAGTCCATAGACTTTGATTACTTTGAATAATGTTAAGAAGGATGAGTAATATGTAATTAGAAATAGTTTTTATTATGTAGATTGCAGCAAAACAAAACTGTTTTGCTTCATGCTGTTTTTTTTCTGTAGTGTTCTATTCCTTGTTTTATAGGCTTTTTTCAGAATCCTCATATGTTTTTTAGTAGTTTAAGTGACTGTAATTTAGTACCATGTGCATATGACTTCTTGTAAATGTGAAACTAACGGCTGTTCATCAGTCTCTGGAACTTACTTTTAATGCTACCTTTTCGCTGTAGCCACACTAGCTATACTTAGCCTTTATATTTTAAAATTCTACCTAAATCTATACTAGCTTTCTGAAATTGCTGTTTGAGTCATACATTAACTTAGCCTTTCAGTACTGAAGCCAGTGCAACACCTAATCTGCTCTTTCTTTTCTATTTTCCTGTGAGCTATGGTGTTTTGGTACTTATAAATCTAAAGTGAAAATTTGTCAGAGTTAGAATGCTTAATGCATGTGAGTGATTTTTTGATCCACATTTTCATCTCCTCAAGCATCAAGATATCACTTGTTCTTTGCTATCTCTTTGTTCTTTTCAAAGAGCAGAAATGAGTGGGCTTAAATGAAAAAAAGAAGAAAAAAGCTGCATGAAAAGATGTTATTAGAAGTAGAGTTGAATATATACAGAAGAATGAAATAATTTCATCTCCATTTAATTAACATGAGGTTGAAGAATTGTTTCTCATTTTCATTTTTACCATATGACATTGTTTAGATAGTTTCATTTTTTCTGTTAATTAGAAACAGAAGATAAAGATGGAGATGTGATAATTTCAGTTGGATCAATAAGTATTTATGAGCATTTTTTCCAGTATTTGATTTGCATATGATGAATACATTTGTCCATAATTCATGTTTAGTTTCCAAATCAATCTGAAGCAGTATAGGAGAGAAGCTGCAGCTACCTGATTCCGAGAATTTGGACCTACCTATTGTTTGTTTTATTTTCACCTCTCATTACCACCATCATTTTGTAAAGAAAATAATGCAGATTACAGTAGAAGTCAATTGGAAAAATATTCTAATATTGAGAGAAGCAATTTTGAGTAGGATTTTGTCTGGTTTTATCATCTGATATTTAGTACAGTCTTTCAGAATCAAAAATACAGTTAGGTCCTAAAAATATCTCTTTTGTGGAAAATTGTGTTGTAGTTTTGTCTACAGGTAATGCATATATAAACCTAACTGAAACTGGCAGAAAATATTTTCTTTTTTTTCTGTTAGGTACTGTGCTCCTTGGTAGTGGTCTGTACACAGTTTCACTGCTTTACTTGAGAAGTAGATTGATTTTTACCTTTTTTAAGAGGTTTTACAAATACATTAAGAACCAGGGCTTTGGGTTTTTTTTGTTAATAATTTAATGTGAGCCTCACTGGATTCAACAAGGCCAAGTGAAAGGTCCTGCACCTATGTCGGGACAATGCCCAGTGTCAAGACACACCAAGGGATTAATGGATTGAGAGTAGCCCTGTGGAGAAGAACTTAGGGATGAAAGATTGGACATGACCCAGCAGTGTGCGCTTGCAGCCCAGAAAGTCAGCTGTACAGCACACTGGACTAAGGCTTTTGGAGTGTACAGCCTGTCTCTGTGCTCCAAAGGTGCACAGAGGTTAAGGTAGTTGGTTTGCACAAGATGCTTTTTTTCTTCT